AATTTGCGAACAAAATAACAGAGCCCGAATAAACAGTAATCAATGATGAAAATTACAAATGTATGCGGTAACTTTTAAACCTTAATGCCTTGAGGGTAGGTACAGTCTGTAAATGTAAAGGTACTACAAATAGCGGATTTATAAAATTTACTCGATCGAAAAGTATTCAGTTTCTTATTGCTATTTACAGGGACAGGGTCGTGGCAATCTATAGCGGCATATGATAATTATTAAGAAATTTAAGAATGATCATCATATTTTGACAGGCCCGTCTTAAGCACAACAGACGCCCGGGTGCAAGCAGTGCTCTAGCAAAATCTCTCGCGTCAACTCTTGATTTCGAAGCGACCCAACCTAATTATATTTAAATACTAGCTGTGCCCGCGACTTCGTCTGCGTGGGAAGTATTTTGGTAGAATATTTTTTTTCCAATGAATGCAGACGAATCGAATAAGATCAATGGGCCATAACCCACTACGCGGGCTTAATGCGGATCGGTGGGTGTTAACGTTGCCAATGCAGCCAGGACTAACGGCTTAATGTGCATTATGCCAGTGTTGTGCACAGTGCTCAAGATAATAATGTTTTGGTCACTCATCCTGTAAACGGTCCTTACAAATGTTATTTTTCCATATTTTTCTCGTTTCTCGCGCTCTGGTTGTCGCTTGTGTCTGAGCATTTTATTCGTACCTTTAAACGGTCCTTCTTTTGTTTTTGATCTTTTTAAATTATTATTATTTGTCTGCAAAATCGGTTATTTATTGTTCTATTTTCCATGTAATGCTAGGTCGGTTGGAAGAAATCGCTGGCTAGCGATGAGTTTGTCGTTTGTACTTATTTATGTAAAATAAGTTTTCATGTATGTCCTTGTTGTGCAGTATTGAGTTACTTATTTAACTGCAATTTAAACTGAATGCGCTAACCCACTACGCCATCGGACCCCTTATACCTAAGCTATACTAATATTATAAAGAGGAAAGATTTGGTTCTTTGTTTGTTTGCATCGAATTTGTTCCAATACTACTGGACCGATAGTTGCGGAGCGATTCCGACCTACGGGAAGCTACATCAGACGCGCATGTCATAGACTATAATTTTGCGGCAAAGTCGTGGGAAAATAGCCAGTTCATTTTCACCCTGTGAAAACTTATCTGCGGTACGCCTGTGGAGTATGAAGTCAACACGGGTTGGCGATAATCGAAACTATTTTCTCGATCTCTATTGTGTAAACTGCGAGGTCTTTAAAAGACCAAGCGCATTTCCCTATCAAAAGAAGTTTCATACTCATACCATACTGCATGTATGTAAATACTTCAGATTCAACTTTATAGTGCATGAGCCTCGCGATGGGCCGTTAAATACGCTTCGCGTTTTTCAGGTGTCTCCCGAGACCGAGCGCTTTCTGTCTGATCTCTTTCTTTGTCTATAAAAGTCGGTCAGTACATGTCTGACGGAAGATACGTGGAGTTTTATTTATTAATATAAAAAAAATATATACATATTTTAATTTCGGCTTTCCACGGTCGAAGGAAATCATCTACTAACATACACATTCCGTGAGGTGCTTAACTGAACTCAGATTTGAACGGTCCTTCTCATCATCATCATCATCATCATCATCAGTCCTTTTACGTCACCAACTGCAGGAGCTCAGGCCTTCCGTATGGATGTTTAAAGAGGATGGGCCACTGCCCTCCATACTGGCCCAATGTGGATTGGAGGAAATTAACGACTGCAAATACAACTGGGACCAATCGCTTTACTTGCTTTCAGAAGCTTGGAGTTGCTTGAGATAATATTTTTTGGTCATCCATCCTGTGCCCGACCTTTGCGAAAGTTGCTTAACAACTACAATCGCGGGCCATGGCGCTTATTCACTACGCCACCGAGCTACTCTGAACCGACCTTCAGACTTGCGTAATATTATATGAGTGTTGTGACCAATGAATAAAGCATTGTTTCCAGCGAAGACTGCAAATACCAACTTTGAAGTACGTATCTACAGCAATTTGTATGTTAAAAAAAAAACAAAAAAGTATTAACATAAAAAATAGCAATAAGAGAAAAAAAATATATATATATAACTCGAGTTGTCTTTACGTTCTTAACTTCAGTTGACGTGAATCTAAGTTTTTTAACGTCGTGGAAAAACTTCTGACATTGTCTCTGTTACCTGGCAAGCAACAGGGGTGAGTAGGATTCTCCTCCGTGAACCCAACAGTGAGCTGCCCGGTGGGTCCCCAGCGACCTAGCCACCAAAACCCGTACTCTACACCCTCTCATGGGAAATGAAAACTGGCAAGCTATGGCCGAGTCACCAGGACACTCAAATATTGGACCATTGGTCCCCTTGCAGATGGAAAATTGGAGAGACTCGGGTAAACCGAGTGCCTCTCCCAGACAAACGAAACCGTGCAATGCGGGAGCGGCTGCCAACCACCTCCGCTGGCCCCGACGACGACGTGAACCTAATCTGATAAAAATATGCGTTCACTGTAAACTACTCGAGGCTTAAATGTATCATCAGAAGGCTCTATCGGCTTGTTCTCCTACTCGCGTGTTCGTATACCACATGTCCATTATAAGCTGAACCCTATTTAAAATGATTGGCCATATATAAATGAGGTCAACTTACTTCGGTGTTGTTGTAAATTTTGGAATCTTATTTTTTTATTTGTCATCATACAAATTATCATTTTATACACAATATTTATACAATATTAATTCATAGCTCACTGGCGCTACGGATATGCGCCGCTGCGCACGATCGTTATTGCTAAGCAATTTTCGCAAGATTTGTTCACGGGATGGGTGACCAAAAATTATTAAACAAAGGCCTGAGGCCCTGCAGTTTGACTGTCAAAGAGTTAATGATGATGATCAATATATCAAAGACGAAAATTTAATAAAATAGTAAATATTTCATAGCAATTTAGGCGACCACGTCACTTCAAATTGACATAACTTTTTTATTTGTGAACCGATTGAAATAAATCTTACACTAAATGTTAACGGAAGAATGCCGCAATATAATAGTGAAAACTGCATTTAAATCGGTTCAGCCGTTTCGGAGATTATCGTGAACAAACGCACAGACAAACAGACAAACCGACAAACAGACAAATAGACAAAAAATTTAAAAATCATTGTTTTGTGTTCTATTACTCTTATTAATGTCCCTCATAACATTTTTTTTCATATATCTTCAATGTACAGACATCGATCGTTTACGTTTTTACTATAGTATAGATATATACCATACATAAAAGTAAAAAATGATTTTCAAAAATACTGTGTGATCTGTTAAAGGTACGTCGTTGAGTTGAGTTCAGAGTATGTATAATATAAAAAGGCGAAGATTGAAAAAATAATTTTTCTTCCTCTTCAAAATTACAGAAATTTTTTATAAGAATATTTTTACACCATGATTTTTACACTAAAATAAAACAATCTGTATAAAACATCAACAATTTTATTAATTCACGATCAACTAATGTTATTATAACTAAGAAAATTATTGACGCATGACTAGAAATGATACAAATCAATGAAACATAGTTTTGAGAAAAAAATATTAAGGATTTTCTTGACTCACTAGATTCAGAACTTTATAATATTATACAACTGCTAAACTGTTACATAATCAGTATGCTATAACATCTCATATTTAATTTCACTTAAATATATATTTCATAAAAATTCGGTGAATGTCCTCATAATTGTTTTATTTACAAAATTTTATTTATAAGACTATAATTATAAAATTCACAAACACTTAGTTGTAAAATTCACAATTAATCATATCTACTAATATTTATGAATTATATTAAAAATCTAACGTAATTCATTTTCAAACAGAATTACAAATTGGTGTGAATTTCACATTTTTTGTGCGCCACATTACAACAACAAAGTATTATTTTCCTTGAAGAGTAAGTATGGATCACTCAATTTGTATAATTTGGGTACTTACTTATTTCGGTGAATAATACCATATAAGTATAGCACAAACAAAAAATGTAATTAAAAGAAGTTATTTCAGTTTTGGGGAATTGACGAAAATGCAGATAAGATAGCTTTTTAGTTTTAATATCGACATGACCTTTTTGGTTGTTTGTCATGCTATAATTTTCACATTTTAATACCATTACGATATGTGAAAATGTAATCAAGCCAACGATATAAGGAAAATTGGACATAACGCGAATTTAGTTACGTACGCTGTTTGTCTTGATGAAATATTAAAAACAAAATTTATTATTAATTAGATTAATACAGCATTGCATTTATCGTAAAAAGTGAAACTTCATATATGTCGTAGTCGACTGGTTAATATAGCCGTTCAATTAGGTCACTAGCGCTTTAATGTCATGTTTTATTCTAATATCATTGATGTTTTTCAATTGCATGAGGTTAATTTAGTTTCTTAGTTAGTATGTATAGAATTAACATATACCATGTTTTAATATCAGTTGGCTGACCTTCGTATATTCAGTCAAATGACTAGCCGTCCAATTATTGCCGTCTAAATATTGAACATTGTTTAAACCAGTTGCCTGCATCATATAATTCACTGTAAAAAATAAAGAGATTGGTAAAATGTATTAACAAAGATACTGTAATAAGAAATTATTGATTGAAAACAAAGTTGTACAAATAATAAATATCGCACTTTATGTACGACATATTTCATTAATAAAATAAAAAAATTAATAACAATTACTTATTTTACTAATATAACCTTAATTAATAATTAGTAATGTGTACTTTATTTTTAATTTATTTTACTCTAATATACATTATTTTCTTTTGTATCTCAATATCTGAATATTTTATCAATAGTTATCATCTAATAAGCTATTTAAACATTATAAAAGATACAATTTCTGGTTCCACATCACAAGCTCCTCGACAATTATATATTTTCAGATACCACAAATGGTATTGTTTACTAGTACAGATATGTTAACACATTATACAATTACATTATTTTCTTAATTCTAATGTCATCTTTTTTCTTAAATTATTGTTTAATAGAGTACATTTTTAACAAACCAGCTTTTTTATTATCACCTATCTAAAATGCGTTGTGAAAATCTACATTTGTTTATTTAAAATTATGTAACAACACTGTTAATGTTGTAATTGAAAACAATAAAAAATAGCTGTAAAGCCGTGTTAAAGTAAAAATAATTGGATATATATTTATTTTAAAAAGTTTTTGAAAATTCGAAATTTAGAAATGACGTAACTTAATAATGATGTTTTGGATTTATCGTATAAGAAATACGAGTAAGAAACACATGCTAATTGACAAAAAGGTTTATAAAACAATTAGAGACCCTTTGGTATGATTGTACTATGTATTAACGTTTACCGATTAACATTTACTTTAACAATAATTAAAAAAATATCTTACTTCGACCGAAATTATCCATCGAGCTGCAAGAAAAAACTTTCAGTGCTGCTCTCTTTTGCGTCTACATTAGATTCTAGGTGTTTCACACCACTTTCGTTCTCGCAACATTTCGGAAACGGTGCCATATTGTCCGTTTTGAATATTATACACTTGCTATAGTTTTCTTGGGACCGTTCCCGATTATTGTTGGCGGGACAGCGGCCCAGAGACCTCCCTCAGAGTTTTGAGGTGCCGTTGTTTAATAGCCGAATGCTGCTATCTCTGCCCACACTTGTCCTAGGAACAAAACTTAAAATAAGTCAAATAGAATGGGGGTAAGTACTGATTACTTAACTTTGTGTATTTTATGATTTCTCGAATGCATACTTTTTACTACTTTATTCTATAGTTATTTCAAAGGGTACTTTCCTTGAAATAATTATAGAATAAAGAAGTGATAAATACAATGTATGCGAAATAAGGAAATTATAAACATATTCGGATCAGGACTGTGTACTTTAATGCTAGTGTCTACAGTAGGTTATAGCAAGAAACCGTATATGGATATTTGCAATAAATTTAAATTGTAACAATTCTGTTAAAAAAGCTAAACTAAATATAGTTTTAATACTGACAAACTGCTTTTTAAAATTCTGTAAACAACTAAAATAAAAGAATAATGTTACTTTGTCTTATCAACATATATTCAATAATATGCTGCTGGTATATTTATATTTCTTTGATTAGATGCGACTTAAAAGTAAAATTAAAATAAACCCAAATTAAAATTTTATTTTATCTATTTTGATTTTAAAATCAAATCTTTGAATCCAATAAAAAATCAAATTTGCTTTGTGTTATGTTAATTCATCCGTGAAGAGTAATTCCACTAAATCTTAATTAACTTCTTACCTTAGTTACCAAGAGTTGTAGTGGAAGTAAATCTTTTGTTACTTAAAAAGTTTTATGCGTATGGGATTAGAGATTAATTTGTACATATTGTCACAATTACCTATTATAATAATACATCATATTGTCATGGAATATAATATCTATTACATTTATATAATATATTATAATCATAATTTTGTCACACAAAATTTGAGCAGGGATCTAAATGTAACACAAAGGTTTGTTTCACTAAGCACTCAGGATAATCCTGTTGAAACAGCAGTTTTTTCCATTTCACTTGCTTGTGAAAATCGTATACCGAAGTGGCATTCCATTTGGTTTATGATTGGAATTTTTAATGAATTGTGAAGTGTTTTAAGTGTAGAAATAAAATTGGCGAATCAAAATTGAAAAGCTCTGAGACTTTATGATATGATTTTTAAGAATGATTGGTAACTTAATATAATGTCAGGAAATTTCTATTATTTATTTTATTTTAGTATTTCAGATATTATTTATTATCAACGGCTATCTTCAAATTTAATTTATGAAATATTTCAACGTCCACTGCAACCCATCTCTTGAAATAGATTGTTGTGAGCGTGGCGTGGTCGAAAAATGACATCATTAATGAACAGCAATGTCTTGTGGAAAAGCTTATGGATTACTTTGAACGTTTTGAGTATTTAGTAGTAGAATGCACCCAAAATTGCATTGCAATGCAACAATCAGTGTACTTTTCCTCAATGATTTACATTAAATATTGACACTCATCGAAGTCGAAGTCAAAACTTTTAATTTGATAAATTGTACAACACTAAGAAAAGGTGCGCTAATCTTGTGGCAAAGATTAGTGCATCTTTCGTTCAGTCGACTTTTACAACTTGCTTTCCTAATATATATCTTAACCACAATATCAAGTACTTTTTGCATGAATTGTAGTTGTTTATTTTCCTTTATTGTGACGATAGAACTAATGAGAGTTTTTCCCATTAGCTACTAAGACGGTAATAAATCACTGTGGTCTATTTGGTCACGTTACTCTTGTCTGTTAAGACTGATACTTACATTACTTATATATTCTTTTTTACTTTCATTACCAAAACCTATTCGCTTAAACATAATTTCTACATAATGACCACGAAATATTTTATTTAATTTAAAATAGTACGCCATTGGTTCCAAAGGTAGTCCGCAATCGCAAATATCAGAAAAAACTATAATTGATCACCTAAATGCTATAATCATCTATTATCTTAGATATTTACAGAATTTTAAATGTAGTTTGACGGAATTAAAAACATATTTAATGTACTCGTAGTTTGTTCAAAAAAAGTGTTACAATTGACTACTGTTTAGTCAGCCAAATAAAGCACCTAATAGAAATATTACTTAGGGATAACACCTTGAAAAATATATTATAATAAAAAATCTGCCGCTCTGGTAATTATATGAGCATTATGATTAACATACCACTTATTTAATATAGTCATTTTATGAGAATAAGAGATAACAATGTGCGTCTCTGATTTAGAATATAAAAAACGATCATAAAATATTATCACACTATTCTAAAGTTATCGATATATTGGAGTTGAGCGAATCTTGTATGTAATTATGAAGCATAAGCAAACTTCCCAAAGTTCCGTAATTGTATGGGATAAAAAATGTCCTTCATGATTCGGAAATCATATCATGGTGTAGATTCCCATTAATGCCCTTGCCCTTTTTTCTATATTTAGTTTTTATTTCCATATGAGACACTCTTGCCAAATTAATAGCGGAATTAATAGACTGAAAAAAATTATGGTAAGTTTATAATTTCAATCAAAACTATGTTGTTACTTCGTGGTCTATTGTTTGTAACAACCGGTGATCACGTCATGTGATACCTCACTGATACCCGGTCGGGTAACTGTAAAAAAAAATCTCATATCTGTCGCCTAAATATTTAGAAATAAAGAAGTCTTAAGTTATGATATTCGTTATGTGGCGCTTTGCGCTAGGCATTTGCGTATGTGTCAGGTCATAAATATGTCCAGGGATAAAAGAAAAACATATTTATTTCATATTAAACTAATCTGCTTAGGCGATTCGTAATATTAGGCGTTTTCTTGTTAAGCTATGCCTTGTTTTAGGTTAGTGAAAATGGGTGTTAGTTTAGGATCTAAGCAATTATATGTACTTATACTTATATATCAATTACTCACGTTCTAGGAATCATGCTAATGTTAGTTTTCCTGCTAGACGTAATCCTCCTAGAGGTTGAGAGTGACAAAGATCCACGAGTCCCGTGTGATGACCCTCCGCGGCAGAGAAGATACCTGGATTAAAAAAAATACAAAATTCTTATAACAATCAATGGTCTATCTACTAGACGATATATAGTAAGTAATAATTTAAAAAAAGTCCGTTATTTTAATCAGAGTTTAGTAACAACGGTTTCTTTAAAGGTAATGAAGAATTCTTGATAAAAATCAGCATTAGCTTTAATTCTGAATCAAAAGTCTTTTTAAAGCTATCGTGTGACTCTAAAACCTGGAGCACAATGTTGTGTAATATAATCTTTTGTCTATCTGTGTTATCTAAATTAATATAATGTCATGTGACTTATAAGAATACCATATCTTTTTATATTTAAATTTCTTTTTCAAAAATGCATTTTGTATATTTTGAAATATTTGCTAAATACTTTCTGTTACATTTTGTCAGCTAAGAGTAACAAGTTTTCATTACAAATGAAAGTTCACTATTGTAATATAAAGCACCCGAAGTATACCAAGAGAAAAGGTAAGTAACCTATCCTGCAGAAAAAAAAGGAACATAAATAGATAGGAGTAAGAAAGAGACTGACATATTTGAGTAATGAATGAATTAAAGGTATTTGATTAAACGAAGTGAATTAAATTTTGTAAAACAAAGATATTAAAAAGCTATTAAGTATTTGAAAATACCTTTTAGCATTTGAAACAGTGGCGTAACTATACCGTTTGAGGCCCGTGGAAAATTCATCGGATATTCAATTTTTTTTTTTACTAATTGCTTAATAATAAATGTCATGAGTAAGGAGTGTCCTCTGACTAGGAGCCCGTGGCATTTTGCCGACTCGCCACCATGTAGTTACACCACTGATTTGAAATACAAAAAGCAAAACTATTTCGCATTTCAAATAGTGAATTGGAAAAGTGTTTACACGTTTTATTTACAATATGTATTGTGTTAAATTGAAAAAAATTATGTCTAAGAATAAAATAAAATTTTACTACATTCATAGACCTTATATTTCGTTCAAAGGTTAAAGAGTTTATCATCATGATCGGCCTTTTAATGCTTCCACTCTACATCGGACCAACGGCCTTTCCCATGGATAGAGTGGATGTATAGAAATGGAATCACATGAGGAGAATGGCCATCACCATTGCAAATTGGTTGATGCTAATGTGTAATAAGTAAGTATCTAAACGTGACTTCCGAAGCATGGATGGGCTCGAGGTAATACATTTTCGTCAAACCTATTGTATAAGTTTCACAACCCCTGCACAACAGACCAAACATGATAACCATTTGAGTTTTATAAATATTATCATTATAATTTCTAAACAAATAATAATTGCCATAATCAACGGCATATCAATTGGCACTGTAAAAGTGAGGTACTGTACAGTCCAAGTTGTTTCGAAGAAAAAACAAACAAATGGGTTTTCCTGTTAACACGGGAAAAATAAACCAGGAAATAACATTTCAGGAGCATTTTTTTTTTTATTATTGCTATTACGAGTATAATATTATATTTATATGACGAAATTACTGCTTAACCTTTTGATTTCACTTGGGTTTCTTTTATTACTATAAACTGTTACACTTGTTTGTTATATGCCTAATAAAATCTTTCCAGATAAAGAGCATTGCCCACAGAAGTATGATATTATGTTAAAGTTGTCGTTTTAATTTTAATTCAAATAACTGTTTAGTGATTTTCCTTTCCTATTATTTCACTACACAAATTGAATTTGTCTTGCTTACCTAATAGTTTATGTAAAAAAAGTCACATACCTATTTCAGGTTGGAGGTTCCAAAAATAAATAACTGAAATAATAATACATTTTAGTAAGAAACTAGACTAAAATAGCACACAAATCATTAATAGTGGCGATCTCTGTCTGTGGACTGCTTTATATAACCATAGAATTATTTCAGTAATGAAACGTGGGTGTATTAAATAGATATAAAAATGATCCAAGGCGTGTCATGAATTATTGAAATAATTTTGTTAGTATTCTACGTGATATTGTGAAGGGTATTATAGGCCTAATTCGAGAGTGGTGACAAAAAAAAACAAATATTTTCGGAATGACAGATGATGCATATGTTTTGCCAATTCTTTATAGGTATAAAAATTAATATTATAGCGCTGTTTAATATCGTAATATAATGTTACGAGTTAGAGGGAATATACAAATTGCTCGATTGATCTATTATTATTGAGTTTCGAGTTTGAGATTCGACGAAATTCAATATAATTTATATAATTTCTATAACGTAATGAGAGAGATAACAAACAACAGGTGGTCCTTGTGATTATATATTACAAATTATTAATCACATGTTACTTGTGAAATTCCAACGTTATACACGTCTCATACGAGTATAAGGTTGAAATTATAATGAACAGGGTACGCGTGTTACACAAGACAATCTAGACTAATTCAAATTATTATTCAGTATGAGTCAACTTCAAAAGTCCTTTATAATAAAAATAACCTATAGTATTATCACAGTACGTTTATAGAAATCTATTGGTAACGTTTAAATACTTTTTTTTTTAATAAAGAGATTAAAGACTCTTTAGAAATTAGAATTATATAATTGAATTTTTTTAAATAAATTCAGTTTTTGAAAGCACAGAAAATCATATTATACGGTTTTAGTCAACCTTTAAATTAAATTTGTTTTTTTTTAGTTTCACTGTCGTACTCAGACACTTCAATGAATAAAATAATGTATAATATAAGTTTCTACATTAAGGTATAAAGTACTATGAGAATATAAGTTAGGGATATTTAGGTATGTTTTTAACAAACTTTTATAATTTGCCATGTCAGCTGAGTTAAATCTTGAAAGATAAATTTGAAGATCGTTCAGTTTTTAATTTTGGATGAAAAAATATAGGTATATATTATCATAATACGGCATGAAGCTAATCTAAAGATGGATCCGTAAAGTAGGCCGAGTACCTCGTAATTAAACAAAGCAACCCCATAGAATGGGCTCGTTTGATTTATCGCGACAAGGACTTTAGTCCGATTTAATTTATTATATTAAGCTGATTGTGCCTAATGACGCTACTTAAGTACTGGTTTGGGTTTATTGTCTGTTCATACTGTTTTTACATATCTATACTAATATTATAAAGCTGAAGAGTTTGTTTGTTTGAACGCGCTAATCTCAGGAACTACTGGTTCGAATTGATTTTTTTTTTGTGTTGAATAGACAATTTATCGAGGAAGGCTTTAGGCTGTATAACATCACGCTGCAACTATTAGGAGCGAAGAAATAATGGAAAACGTGGACGAAGTCGCTGGCGGCCATAAGTAAATAATAAAACCGTAAACTTGAATAAATAAATATCCCATAACAATATTATCTCGATCTCCTCCATGTTGTGGAAGACGAATTAAGTCGTTGATCTCGTCTGTATCTTCACATCAATACGCTATGACCCCGCGTGGTGGATCATGGCCCATTCTACCTATCCGTTTAGATTCGATTTCATTCATTGGAAAGGCATGTGTCCCAGTAGTAAGAATATTGGGTAATTTTTACTGTATAACTTTCAACTTTTTATATTCGTTACGCTTTTTTACCGCGAAGGAAATTGTTACGTGCCAATGTTTCGATAATGTCGATAATTATATTATTAAATCTTAAATTACACCACAACATTAGTCACGAATGTAACCTAAAATATCAGCGTGTATGTAACTACATCCTAACATATAACATTCCTTGTGGTATTTGCTGTTCAAACAAACATTTAGTTAACTACGCCAGACGCGCAGTAAAATATTCTCGTTAAATCTTCGGCTTAGATAAACTGCATTGATTTATTTACAACTGAACATTTTCAATGATACTGGATTTAATTTAGTTATTTACATAGTCGCGATAAAGGGTAAACATGATAAAATCAGAAAGGTATTTTCCTTTATATTTCTGTGCAAATGTTTAGATTTTTAAATTTCAAATTAATGGTGAACTAGCTTTCCGCCAGCGGCTTCGCCTGGATATGTCTTGTATTATGCATCAAAATCCGTCGCGTAGTTTTAAAGATTTAAGCATACGAAAGAAAGAAAGTGACTTTGTTTTAAACTATGTAGTGATAAGTAAGTATATCTAATAAAGAAATTACAGGACCTCTTAATTTTTAATAGAAAACAACACATTCAGATAAAAAAAAGTAATTACATATTTATTTTCAAAATGACGTAGTGAACTTGGAGTGGGGAAACCTTTTGTCGTTATCTATTTGTGAGCATCATAAGTGCATATTGTTATACCTGTCCACTTTAGATTTCAAACAATCATTTCTATTTAGATAATTTAAATTTTTCAAACAACATTTAACAGTTTGAGTTTTCAGATTGACCTACAATCTACTTAAAAAAATCTAACACATTACATTCCGTTGTTCATTTATACGCTATCAATAATTACAGTCTAACCTGAAATATAAAGTAGGTATATTTATAAATATGGAATCAAAACACAATTTTTTTTCGAATAATTTGTTTACTGATTTCAGTATAACTTTTGAGACTTTTAAAATGCCATTAGGGATATAAAAAAGAATGCTATGTATTATAAACTTAAAGTACTTATAATAATACTCTCAAACATTTCTAGGTTACTGGAATAACTTTGTTCGTGACTAAGTTTGTCCCAGCACAAACGTGATTCAATTTAGCAAGTTACTTGATGTCTGAGGTTACAAGGTACGAAGGATGTCAACACCAATTATGTATAATAAAAATATTTTTTGAGAATATACCCTATGCCATATAATATACCATATATAGAAGTTTAAAGAATTAATTCTCAAAGAAAGCTGATTGTCACTCTCATGAAAACATCGAGATTATTTGTGATCGCACTAGAAACAAAATATAGTGAGTAAAGATAGTGTCACAAATAAACTCATGATTATTAAAGAATTAAAAATATACAGTACCTAATCCTAATCTAATTTTTCTCTCTTTTATATCACTTAAAGTTACTTATAATTATTTATAATGGCCTTTGCTACTCTTAAATACGATAAACGAGT